AAGGAGACAAGCAACCTGGTCACACACTTTGCTATACGGTTGCTGTACTTGTAAGAGTTTTTTTTTAAAAAACAAACAAACAAAAAAACCCAACAAGATATTTGACTATGTAAAATAGTAAAAATGACTGGACGTAGAAATAAATCTGTAGAAAGGTAAACAATTTTTACCGTGTTCTCATAAAGAGTTGAACTGCAGTTCAAATTGCAGTAGTATGTCTTAGGTGATACATTTCATGGATATGCAAATATATAATGTCAAATCACAGTGATAAAAAGCACAGGTGCTCTGCTTTTAGAGTGGCCTGTACTATTAATACTTCTTTACAGTATGCAACTAATTTGGGAACTCTTCGAAGCTTAAAGATGTTCCTTATTTCACGGCATTGTTCTGCGTTCTGAAGCTTGAACCACAATTTTGATGTGTCGTGTTTTCACTTGCATTGCCAGATGGTTTGATGTTGCAGACAAATAGGAAATTGAATCTAATTCTCCTGCGATGGCTGACTGATGCATTTTATACCAGATACAATAAGTAAAAATGGGCTGGGAATATCTCATTTCATGACTATTACAACTTTGATTAAAAGGTGGGCTACGCTAAGGCAGTTTTGTCACAATCTTTTTTTGAAAAGCAAGCTAAATATCTTTAAGTTCAGGCAGTTTACACAGCATGTTAAATTGTTGTCTTTCAAAATAGAGTGGAAAGAATTACTTCCTTTCTTAAGCGTTTTAGACTTAACTATGAAATGAATTTTCAGTAAATGATTTCTCTAACAATAGCATAGATGAGAATAGTAAATTAGAATAGTAGAAGTCAGTGAAAAGGTCAAGAATGCAACCATTTACTCGCTTATTTTTGTACTTTGTGTAAATTTTCAGCACTGTGCACAATGCACCTTTATTATAACAGAGATCTGGCATTTTAATTCACTGCACATAGCAAACCTTTATAAACCTTTCTGTTTCACCAAAAATGATAAATGCCAGAACCTTGCATGCTTTAATCTATTGTTTAACCACAAAGGTGTAAACAAATTAAGACCTCCAATATCTCACAATGCTACATACTTTGTTATGAACAGAGAATTCAGTAATAATAGTGATTATACAGAAGATGGCATGTTGTTTGGAAACTAAACCCTTGGACATGCGTGCCACATAAGCAGTAAATATTCAGAAGAATGACTTTCTTCATGTGAGCTAATATTTCAGCTGCAGTTTTGCACTTATATTTACAAATCTTAGTTTGATTCTAAATATAAAAGAGCAAATCAGGCACTTGGAGATGCGATTACTGAATTTTGCTTTCATAACTTAGTTTGCAAATGTACATTACATTTCCAGGTAGTGAGGTCAGGCCTTAACTTCTCTGTAAAAACACCTATGATAGTAAAATATTTGTCCTGCTAACATGAAACAATTTTTTAAGCTGTTACTGGAGAATATTAATTCAAAGACTCTTTTTGGCTGGTACTTTTTACTGTTAAAATAGTGTGGTGTTTACCTGAGGACACACTCCATCGGGGATGTATTTGTTTGTAGAAACAAAGCATTTGAAGACACTTTGAAGCTCCAGCTAGTGTTATGAAATCTCTTTGAAAGTCCTCAGGAAGTTGCCTCCATTGATACATGAGAAAATAGGATCTATTTATTTAAGTATTTATTGTTATCTTTTGTCCTCTTGTCTTCTCTTCAAACTAGATCAATTCCTAATGTGAAACTTGTCATGATGCCCCACGCGAAACTTCTGCTGTGCTAGAAAAAGCACGAGTTGTTTCATTACCTGTGTGTGTGACAGCTGGTTTTAAGAACAAACCAGTTATTTTAAACAAGGTGGGTTTTGGGCTATCAAAAGCTGCCAATAAAGTGTGTAAGAGTGTAGCAACAATATGCAAAGTTTTAAAAGTTTTTTCCTTTTTAAGAAAGTCTACTTGCCTTGAATTAAAATTTCTCTCATAGAGTTACAGGCTCTTGGTTTAGTATTAAAGTGTGCATTTTGTGAAAGTTCATCTAAAGAAACAACTGCCACCCAGTTGGCTGTTACAGCAAACATATCTGAAATACCATCAAATGCCATCATTTTGACCTCCTGTCATGCGCTTGTCCTTTCACGGTGTTTGGCCAAAGATAACTATGATGATAGAGTTATTTTTTGGGGAAAGATGGTAAAGCTGTGTGAACTGGTATAATCATAACATTTCTGCAGCTTTATCTGATAACGATGTTCCAGTAGAAAAAAATGCTGTGGTAATTTATAAAGGAGACTTTCTACTATCATTACATTTTCAATTGCTGAAAAGATGTATGGCATTTATAAATGCCAGTTTCAAAAGAGAAAGCTAGCATCAGTTTTTTCTTTTCAGTGTTTCTTTAGATATTTCCATAAAGAGTTTGTCATTATCATTTTCCTTTCATGAATAGAGCTCAAAATGCTGATGCTACCAACTTTCAGCTTTGTAGAAATAAACAATTCATGTTCATACAACACAGTCCCTGATTGAGGGAGTGTAGAGATCTATAGATTGGTGGTGACTTGCTATTTGAGAGGTTATTTGGAGGGGGAAAAAAAGTATTCAGAAGACACAATAAGTTCTCTCAGGGCAATTTCAGAAGTTTGATCCAGAAAATTTTTTGGTTAAAAAAAAAAAAAAAAAAAAAAACAAAACAAAACAACAAAACAAAAACAAACAAACAAAAAAACACTTTGTGGCATTTCTCTGCTTTTACCTCTATATGCATTTGGCTTAGCTTTACTCAGAGCTTACACCAATGTTAAGCAATTCATCTTTCCCCGGAAATGATCTTTTTTAGTTTGGACTCGTTTCTGTAGCATAACACAAATGCTTCCTATTAGTGTGAACTGCTTCTAACCTCAGCAAAGGTGGGGAATGAACCTGATATAATACAAATTTTCCATTGGCACAGAACAGTTGAAAAAAACTCTTATGCAACTTCTTATAGGTACGTCAGCACAGAGAGGCAGCATGACTGATGCAAAGGGAAAATGTCCAACCGCAGCTGTGCCACAAAAAGCTTTTGCAACTTCATAGCTATCTATTTTCAGCCTAGGTTAGTATATACTTAGTTTTTCCATATTTTCTTTTGTATGAGTGTCAGTCTTGGTGGGTGAAATCATGGATTTTATTCATGTGAGAGGCAAAATAAGCTTGTCTGAGAACTGTTAAATCCATGAGGTTAAAGTTTGGCTTCAGGAAGACAGCAGCTAAGGACTAAGAGGTGTAAAGCAGGTACAAAAGTGCATACTGCTCTATAATAAAAATTTGGCGCAGGCAGTATACTTCAGTGTGCAAGGAAGTGCAGCTATCTTTCTAAGTTTCAATCCCCATTGCTGAATTACCAAAAAGGCCACAAGTGACCTTTCCTCCCTTTTGCTTCTCATTATTGGAGGTGAAAAATAATGACATTGCATTTTGTGCTTTTACTAGAATCTGACTCAGAAAACCAGGAAACATTAACAAAGTTAGCAGATACTATGTAGTTTTAGGAAGGAAAAAGTAGGATTCCTAGCGTTTTTATCTTTTTCTTGGATGGGGCATAACCACTGCTTGTGTGGAGTCACCTGTAGCTGAACTAGGAGGTGATGGTACAAGACTGGTGTTGATGGGCCAACGGGAGACCAACAGGAGAGAGTGAGAGGTTTAGGGCTTTGAAGGACTGTGGACAGCTGCAACATGATCAGTGACTGGTGGTTGGTGATAAAATACTGCCAGTCACTCTGTGGGAGATTTATAATGGTTTCCTTCAAGTACTCACATCGCAGACCTGGTGGCTGAGTGTATGAAGCAGATGTTTGACTGCTCCTGTGATTTGAGACCACGATGGTGATAAACAGTCTGACATCAAATGAGCAGCAGTAGATTCAAACCTGTTGCATGGGAGATAGACACAGTAACATATTATATGTGGGATGAGCAATTTACTGAAGATTCAGAGCTTGAGTTATGACACTAAGTTATCAATCACATGAGATTTGCATTGAGAGGTGTTTGCTTTCTGCCTACAGATAAAAAAATCTCCTGTGAATAACTTGAGAAATTTGCATGTAAACCTGGTCTGCAATGTAAATGTGAGTCAGGGTCTTTCATTTTCTGCTTTGTCATGAAGAGGTATGTTTAAAATTATATTTAAAGTTTATTTGTATATACTTTATATACACATACTTTATTTACATAAAATAAACCTCAGTTTGGGTACCTAGATAACTACAGTGCTCTTTGTAGAAAACATTGAGAAATTTTTAATTAAATCTGCTGTTTTTCTAAACGTTCCATCTTTGAGACATACCATTTTAAAGCCTTAGTTATTCTTCAGGGACTCTAATGTTTTCACATGATACAATGCATCCTGCTTGTTGGACACTGAATCTGAATATATAGGAAACTTCAATGTTTAATCTGTCTATATCCCTATAAAAATCTGGTATCAATATACTGATAATTTGGTAGGATGAAATCTAATTTTGTTGTTGATGTTCAGGCTATTTCTGCTTGGAAGGGATAAAGTATTCTTCAGTTCTATGTTGTTGTAATTCTTAAATTATCTCTTTGAATAATTGATTTTTTTTTATTCGGATGTAATGAATCTCACTGCAATAGTCCATTATACTAGGATTTTCCTAAGGTAAGCAAGAAATTACTTTCTGCAAAATTTTTATAAAAGGTTAACTCAGAGCCTGAAACATGATTGCACTCTATCTATCCACTGAGCGTTTTGAAATAGTGAAATCCAACAACAGGAACTTACAATCTTGTCCATCAAAACACTGTGTGTGAGAAGCAGAACCCACCTGCACAAATCTGATCATGGCACCAACGCTTGGCCTCATAAATGTCACCTCATACCGTATATTTTTTATTTAAACAGCAAATAAGGTTACAGTCAAAGCTGAACATATTTTAATCAGCTCTAGATAACTCATTCCACAGAATCCGTTGAGGCAGAACTTAGGTCTCATTCTGTTTGTGTTTAAATTGGCAGGAATTTTGCAATCAACTCTAATGAGATCTGGATGCAGAGCTATTCCGAGTTTCCTATGGAAATTTTACTGAATTGCATTTCATGAGATTCTGCTGTCTCCTGGTAAGTGCTGAAGACACATACATGGTATTTTTGTCTTCTTGAATACAAGAGGAGCTTTGTCAGATAGCTCTTGATAGGATTGTGAGGCCATGGTCTTTTGGACAGTAATTTTCCAGAATTGAGGTCTCTGCCAATTTGTTTAGGAATCAGGTTGCACAGTCCCTCTCCCCTTAGCACTTAATTGTGTTCTTGTCAATTAGCTAGTCCACAGGGCCTGGATGCTATCGGAGGGGAGGCCTCATCAACCAAAGCCTCAATCGGATAAATAATAACAGGTGTTAAAGGGAGTCAGGTTAAGAGGTCAGGCTTCACCACACTTTGTAGATAACATAACAGTGGTGTCAAGATGACTTTTCCTTAGATTATGGAAAGAGATGAGGTGCCATATTTCTTAGATAAGGTAGTCAGGTGCCATATTTTAGATAAAATGATCGATTTGTAGTCAAGATCAGATTCCATCATTATTTCCCATGAGAGATTTCATGGGAATAAGCTGTGCCTGGGGCCCTGTTGCTAACAAGCTGTCCAGTTCAAGGAGCAATAACATGGAAGCCTGCTATGGCTCACAACCCTGAGTAAGACTTATGTGAAGTAGAGGAGCAGTGTGTGTACCCATCACACTTCTGTATAGAAACCTTTGCATGCAATTGCATGAAGAAGATGGTGCCTTTAGGAGCAGGTTCTGTTTGAGAGGTCTGCTGCCTAAAAGGCAACTGTCATTGGAAGTATCCCAGAATTAATTGTTGTAATTAGATCGGTTGCTTTGATTCTTTTAATGTATAAAATACCATGTATTTTCATTTTTGTTAGTGTCCATTCATTCCTCAAAGGTATTTTTAAAAATCTTTTTTTTTTTTTTTTTTTAAATAACTAGTACACTCTTGAAGATATCTTATTTATGGTAAGAATTTTGTCTAACTATTTAAGCTTGCCATCACTGGATCAACATCTACATGTCCCACATAATCTGAACATGAAAATTTTTGTTGCTTATTTATTCCAACTTCATAATATTAGCCACTTTTATTTCTGCTGAACTATGAGAAAATAATAGGCTGGCGATTCAAAGTGGGTTTGGAAGGGAAAAAACACAAAAAAAAGATACAATGTGCAGAGGTCAAGGCAGGCTTCAAAATTTAACTCACAGAAAATTAGTATTACTTAGATCAATGATTTAATGGTCAAATGAAAAAAGTTACTGCTTAGGTAACTACATGTAGCTATTTAGACAGATCTGTGTTTCATACTTCAAGAAGTTTTAAGTGCTGCAATTACTATTTGAAATTATAAATAGTTTTCTTAAAACATATTCTTTAGGTAGGCAACCTAGCAATCAGTACAGAACTACAAAATGCTAGAATAATGGGTTCATTGCTGAGTTCAGCTCACAAAGAAAATAGTTCTTTCCTCAAGATTTTTTTTCACAGGAAAGGAGATAATGAAAGAAAAGGATGTCAGGTGTGGGAGTAAACTGGGTAGAAAGTATTTTAGTCCCTGAAGAGAAAGCTTCAACTAAGCAGTTGATCAAAATGGGATAAATGATCTTTTGTATATATTATTTTTTGCTATTTATATTTATGAAAAATCAAATGAGCAGCAACACTTTAAATTTTATTTTGTTTAACATTTTTTTTTAATAATTGTGACAATATTAAAAATATGAATGTTTGCAGAACTGGGACTAGGGCTTTCTTTTATCCTTTACCTGGCTGACATCACTAGAGCATACAAAAAGGAGAAATATATATAAAATGAAAAAATATTTTGTGCTTATATGTACAAAAGTTTTGGGTGAGATTAGGGGATCCTTCTGGAAAACAAAACAAAACAAAAACAAACAAACAAAAAAAAACACTCAAGAAACATTAATGCTTGGTGGACACTGAATCTGAACACAAAGGAAAATCCAGATGTTTAGTCTGTCTATATTCCTGAAAAAAACTGGTACTGATGTGCTGAAGATTTGGTAGGATAAATTTTGAATCTTTTTTTTATTCTGGGCTATTTCTGCTTAGAACTGATAAAGTATTATGTTTCCATTCTATATGACTGCAGTTTTTAATTCTTCTCTGTTAAATAATTGATTTAATATTTTATTGCTCCATATTTTATATCTATGTAAAGGATAAAGTATTTGAAGCACTAAGTATTCTTCTTAGATATTAATCTCTGGAAAACAGAAGGCATTATATTACGAGATTTGCTACAAAGAGCAATGACATTCATATTGGACCAAAGCTAATACAAAGGTTATTATCGATTTTAAAAGCTAGTAATTGGCATGTTAGACACTGACTATTAAAAAGCACCATAAAGAGTAAGGTCTGATTTGAAGACTACTACCAGCAAGGCTATCTGTAAAAATAAATAAATAAATAAATAAATAAATGCTGTGCAAACAAAAGGATGTAAATGGAAAGAAGAGAATATTCTTTTATTTGATATACAGTCCAGGAGTACACACAAATAAAGAAAGCTTTCTGAAAGCTATGGCAATTTGAAGATATGCATGGAGAAATCTGGATGAGAGACAAATTTATATACAGACCTGAGATACTAGATTGGAGAGGGTATTCATTTTCATCTCTTGCACCTAGTTCAACATGATGGATTATGAAAGCAAAAAGCACAGACTGTGACTTATTTGATATGAACATTTCTGTACCTTTTCTTGATCTTTGTCTTAGCACATCTTTTTCTAACTGTCTGGATTGCTCTGTGTTCTCATGCACACGATTAACAACTTGGGACTCTCCTACTTCTATGCCATCTTCAGAGGTCTTTGAACTGCACCCTTTTAGGCATTCCCAAAGGAGTTAGGCACTCCTACGGCCTTTTTGTATCTTCATGTGAAAATACTTTCTTTTGTTGTTGTTCTTCTAATCTAGTTTAGGGCTGTGATTCACACAGAACCTTTTTAACTGTTTTTGTACAGATGAGATGCTGGATGAATGCAGGCTCTCTGCAGCCTCCGGTTCCACTCACCTCTATTATCTCTTTAAGACCCCAATGACTTCATTAATTCATTCTCTTTTCATCTATCATGATCATTATCTTGACTATTATTACTTAATTACTATCGTATGTCTTTATAGCAGTTTATAGCCTGACAGTGAAACATAGAAAAACATGTGGGCATGAGCACAAGCATGCATGTAACTTTTCGTGGATTTTCACTGGATTTAGAATTGGATAGTTATTTACTTTTTGAAGTAACTTTTTCAGCTGGGGGTGGGGGGGAGAGAGAGAGAAAGTACCTAGGCTTCCTGAAAAGGTTATAATGTTATTTTCTAGATTAGTCCTGAAGTCTTTTGTTCCAGTAAGTCCCTGGAAGTTGGATAACTAACAGAGCTTTGGATTAGCTGTCTGAAACTAATGGCATTAAATCAATTGCTGCAAGAATATATTTAGGCCGAACATTAATAATATGGCAGGCTGGATGGCATAATGATGGAACACTGGCCTGGGACTCAGGAGTTCTGGGCTGTGTTCTTGGCTCAGCCAGTAACTTGCTGGGTGACCTTAGGAAAGTCACTTTACCTACTTTTGCCTTATTAAAAAGTTCAATGTGGAAAATGCTTTGAACTCCTGTGATGTCAAGTGTTATATCCCTGCCATATACGTTATAAGTGAAACCTGTTAAATGTCAAACAATGAAAGTGGTGAGAGCCTCTGCTTAAAGAACCATTTATGGAAATGCTTTGGACTCCAGTCAAATCTTTATTTCTGTAACAATCTTCTACAAGAAATGGAAGCAACACGAAGATGTACAACATTCTGTTTCTGTCTTACAAATAGCCCTCTAGGCTGCTAAGAGTGGTTTAACAATGAACTAGCGTACAATGTAAGAGAAAACTAGAATGATGTATCAAGGGGGATTCTGCAGGAGTTCATCCTAGTTATTGTAGTAGTCAGTATTTTCATTAAAGCGCAAAATAAGACACCAGGAGGAAATATAGATAGTATCAACCCTGGAGAATGCTGATCTATTGTTTTAAATAGCAATTTTATTGATAAGTAACTGAGAAAACCAAAATGCTTTTTACCTTCTTTATTTTCTTCTGGATCAGAGTTCAAATCTCAGTAGGAAAACCAACAGCACATCACTAGTGGCAAAAAATCAAGATTTAGGGCTACAGCTGGGGAAGGACTCATCAGAGAGAATAAGTTCAGGTTTTGAAATTGGATGGACTTGGTCTCTCCTAATTAGGAGGCCAGGAATGAGGGAAATCAAATGATGCCATTAAAGGCTATCTTTGAGGAAATGTAGAGGATTTACAGAGCCTGGAGAAGGGAAGATGCAATCCTTATCTTTAAAAATATTAAAAACAACAACAACAAAACAAAACAAAAAAAAAACCAGGAGGATCAGAGAAATGAAAGACCAGCCACCCTTCCTAGAAAAACAAACAAACAAAAACAAACAAACACTACTGAAGAAACAACCAAATCGATCATTTGTAAGGAGGAAAAGAAACAAACCAAACCAAAACCCAGCCAACTAGACTAACCAACACAAGAAGTGGTGAGGCAATAAGGATCCATCAAAAGAAAATTATCTGAGTTTTAAACCAACTTTTTTTTTGCTGTGAAAGCATAGAGCGACTGCAGGAGAAGCAGTCAGTGTCATGTACTTCTGTACTTTTTTTGTACTTTTTACCTTTGTAAGTGTGACATGACAGCTTCACTGGAAAAAGTGTGTCTATAAAGTGCCCTCAAATTGGTGCAAGACTGTGTAGAAAAGACTGTATTATTAGCGTAGAGGTTATTAATGATTTACTGCCAAAATCTCCAGCAGGATTATGTGTGTTCTGGTTGCAGCAATTCTCAACATCTTCATCAATAACTTGGATAATGAAACAAACCCTGTGCTTATTAAATGTGAAGACAATACCAGCCTAGGCAGCTTCAGGCTTGTTGCAAAAATAAGAAAACAAAACAAAACAAAAAAAAACAAGAACTTGATAATTTAGATAATTGGCCTAAAAGTAGAATGGAATTAAATAAAGACAAATATGAGGCACTGAATTTGCGCAGCAATAACCAGCTGTACAGCTTCAGGGCAGTTGGGTGGCAGCTCTGCAGGAGGATCTGGAGTCTTAGAATCGCTAGCGGGAGGCTGTCAACTCCTGAGTGAAATGCAAGATGAACGAAAAGAAACAGGCCGCAGGATCAGCAAAGACATCCTGCTGAAATCCTATGCCCATTTTCAACATTATGCTTCATGGAGAATGAGACTGGAGAACAGCCAGAGTAAGGCAATGAGGATGGCTGTACTAGCGAAGAGTTAATGAGCTGGTTCTATTTCATCTAAAGAGAAAAGAAGATAAAGGTGCTATATAATAATTGCCTTCAAATTCATTAGGAGAGCATCGCAAAGATGGGGGGAATAATTTTTCTCCATGTCCAAGGGAATGAGACATGAAATAACAAGTTCGACCTGGAGCAACCAATTTTAGACATCAAGAAAAAGTTCCTGACAGTACAGGCTGTCCGGTGTGAGAACAGATCCTGTGCTCTGCCCAGACAACCTCTGCCACGGGAAATTGCTGAGAACATATTAGACTAGTGTCTGAGAGAGTGAGCGCTGTTTTGACTCAGCCCTAAAGCAACCACACTGCCCAAATCTTACTGCTCTTTGAGGAGGGCAGATGACAAGTTGGAACAGCAACCTGGGCTTTGTAGGGTTTGGAGCTTCAATTCTAGTCCTGTTTTTTTTTTTTTTTTTTTTTTTTTTTTTCGGGGCATGTTTTCTCTTCTACTTCTTGTTACCTCAGTGCAATTCATATACAGCGAGTCTAGGATAGTTTCATTAGAAGGACAATGTAAACAAAAGTGGTGAGAAAAATATATTGAAGTTTGTGAAGCACTTTAAGAACCTCAGATGAAAGGCAGTATATAAGCACAAACATTATTATGGGAAATCAATGAATAAAGTAATAAATCAAATTGAATAAAAAATGAAACAACCCTTCCTCCCCACAAAGTGCTGAATGCTGCACACAAACCCCATAAACTATATGTTAAACTTAAATAATAACAGCCCGTTTTCAGGATTTTTTAAAACTAATTAGGGCTTTTTCATTTACCAAAGTTCAAACAATTAATCACAGGCCTATGTAATCAAAAGTAAAGTTTGTTTCTTATTACCTATTCATATTGCAATCCTAGCATTTGAGATGATTACATGCTATATATAAACACATACCTAGTATGTAATCATTTAAAGTGCTGGGAGCAGTGTATAGGTAGCTCGAAATGAACACCGTATGTGCGGCACAAAACATTAATAGCATCCCAGAGCACGATGCATTATGAGAGAGAGTCTAATCTGTCCCTGAAATGAATTTGACTTATTCATTAGTGAGATGAAGAAAACTGATTACGGTGAACTATTTTCTTTTACATCAAATAAGGGATAATCTTACCCTCTAGATTTTTTTTTCTTTAAAGAAAAAATATGTTTTGATGAAGACAGTGTTTTTAGAGCTGTAACCGATCAATCCTGGATCCTGTGGCATATTTTTTTTTTATTGATTTTACTTAATCATTTAATTTTAAGATGGTCTGCTCTGCTTTATAGCAAATAAATATGATTTTCCTATTTCTTAAATGATAATAGCTTCTTTGGCATTAGTCCAACGCTCTTTGGTTAGTTAAAGAAAAAATAAAGATGCAGAAGCATTAATTGAAGAATTGTTTGAACTGGAAAATGAGTGAATAGTACAAGCAATAGGGGATGGAGGAAAAAGTTCAGGATCATGGCCTAAAATGAGCAAATGCATTAATCACAAAGAACAACATTTGTTTGTTCATTAATGTTTACAGGATACATAAAAGTGCATAGGAACAAATAAAAAACCTGTGAACAGCCTGTTTGTTTCCTTTCATAACCAGGTTATTCAAATTTGCACTTAGTCTAACATTAATCCCCAGCTGCAGTTGGAAAGAGTTCCACAGGCAGCAGCACCTTGATGAGGACATTGGGAGGAGGTCACAGAGATAGTTTATGAAATGCATTAATTAGACATAATAATGTATTCTACATTTACAAGTCCTTTCATCTAAGGCTCTTAGAGCAATTTATAAACATTGCTGCACTGCTGCAAAAAGAATAAATAGTTACTGCATAAAACTCTCAGGAGTATTTAAGTATTACTGATCTGCTGTAGTAAATGGGTATCAAAATGACCACGTCACCATAGCAAATACAGCTTCAACACCTGAATTCAGATGCGTTTAATAGCATCTAAATGTTTTTAATTCATCCCAATTTCCTTTATTTATTAAAGACTACACAGACACAGAACCAGACCTCTCATCCAGTTAGGAGCTGTTGGCACCAACAAAGCTTGAATCCATGAAATGCTGAGTTTCTTCAGTTCATAAAATAAACAGCTGGAAATGGATCTGCCTTGTATTTGCAGCATTTTAAAAGGTTTCTCTGATCAGAACCAGGCCCGTAAATGCAAGGTTGCTGAATTAATGTTGCGTAAGTAGTCAAGTAATTGTGGCCAGCTATCAAGTTCGTAACCATGCCTGTACTTAAACCACAGAAACTATCTGCTTGCAGTCACAGATTACTAAAATTCAGTGAAGTGCTTGCAGAAAAACAACAAACCAATTAGCTTTTAAGGATAATTTGTTTTTAGATGGGTGAAGAGAAGCAGCCAGAGGAGGGAAAGAACTGCACACCAAGCACCGGGCTCAGCCAGAGTGATAAAAATTGAAACCACATTGGGACATGAGAATTCTAACTTCTAGGAAGTGATTCAAAACTGTACAAAAGTCTCACTTCATAATTGCTACAAATGAAACATGGTATTGTATTTAACAGGATATTAGCTAGGTAAAAAAATGAAGAATTTTAGGAAAATCCTGCTGCCACACCTTCAAGCTGTAGGACTGAACTGTGACTCCAAGCTGGCAAAAAGCACTAAGCCAACCTAAGTTATTCCTTCACAAAAATGTGCAAATGCACAAAATAAACATACCATTGACGGTTTGTGTCAATACCTGCTTACGCTAATTACTCTTGATTGGGACCCAGAAATGCACACCTCCATCTAAAAAAGTACATGTGTGAAGGTAGGTCAAACACTTTCTGATCGCAGTGGTGTTGTTTGGGCTACAAGTGCCAGACATTTCCCTGGTGTGAAGGAATGGCCTATGAAGAAATGCCACATGGAGAGGGTGAGATAGGAGATGGCCACCAGCTTGGTATGACACAGGATCTTCTAATTTTATGTAATTCTGCTGTTAAAGACACATCAGTAATTCTGGCTCTGCAGAACATGCTCTGAAATACTTCTGCACGGGGGGCTTTGTGTGTGGGCGTGTGTTTGCAGACAAGTATGTGTTAACAGCTCAAAATGATGTTTGTCTTCAATTTCTCTTTTTTTTTTTGTTTGTTTGTTTTTGCTTTACCTGGTGTTCAGACAGAAGATTGAAATCTGCCAAACATGATATAAACCATGTTTTTACTGCTGAAAAATCAAGGTCACCCAATGTGAAGTATATAGATGATAACATGATCACGACGCCTTAGGAAAACAAAGAAAAAACATTTTGAAGAAAGGGAGGAAAGCATCATACACTCCAATAACTGCATGTTAGATGCAAAACACTGTACAAAACTTTATTATGAAATAATAAATCAGCACCCTGAGGCTTCATTAACTTCAGTAGAACCAGGGTGATTTATGCCAGCTGAGTACACGGCTGTGTATATATGTCTACATAAGTCAAAATTAGCTATATTTGGAAAAATGGAAGCTTCTGGGAATATATCCCAGCAGAGATAATATGTGACCAAAACAAGATTTATAATTCAAGAAATAAAATGCGATAAACAAGAATGAAAAGGGAAGAAGCCAAAAACAAAACTTGTGCTACGTAGGCCTTTTCCATTATCAAACATAGGAGAAACTGCATTGTCTTTGGAGGAGAGAAGACCAGACAAAGCATTTTACCTTCTTTGTTTTCTTGTTTCTTAGATGGTATTTGGCATGGGCCTGCCTGCTTCCCTACAGGACTCAGAGCAACACAACTGTCCTGAGGTGGTCATTTGCCCTCTTGCTCGGAAAGAAACAGGTACAGTTAAAGCATTGTGATACTTCAAATGGGTGTTTCTTGAGATAACAGAGAACCATGGGATAGATCATCACTTTTTTGGTTAATATTTCTTCAAAGTATCACAATGGCTCAATGAGCGAATCCAACAAGCTGTGGGAGCACAGCTGGCTTTTCAGGTGCTGGAAATAGGCAGAGGGCATCCACACTGTGTGAGGGTGCTTCTTGTCTGGGTTCCTTAAAGTGAAATAAAGTTAAGATTTGTTGGCAGTATTTGGTGTTTGGCACTGAAGTAGAGTACAGCTTCTCAGAACTGATGGTTTTATGGTCTCAAACAGTTCACTGGGATGCAATTTGGCTGGTTCAACAGAACTTGGCTCAGGAGTTTACTGTGTTACATCATGTTTGTACCCAGTTCTTGCTTTTTGGCATTTAGCTGTAGTTTCTGCCCTCTATCCGGTAAAGGATGAGAGGAAATTGTGAAGATTTAAGTGGTAATGAATCAGCATCACTGTCTGAAAGCTTGGAAGTTGCTGACCACTGCCTCAAACAGCATAGTCTCTACAAGAGGGTGACTGGTTGATAGATACCTCCACATTTAGGCAGAAGACCAGACTCAGGTTCTCATTTGTCTTGTGTGTTTGACTGGAGTTGACCAACTCACTGCTCAGGAAGAGATGTGACGCAAGAGCTTTTGGACCTCTGCAGTTTCTGATTTGTCTGATTATGAGTCGGAATACTTCATCCTAATTCTGACGTAGGTTTTGGTGCAATAATCTGTGAGTGAGTGTAACGTCACTCCATCTAGCTGTTCTTACTGTCAGATGAAAGGATTAGAATGAATTGGTTTGGCTTAGACCTCTTTGGACTTGATTTATGCAGAGAACACAACCAAAATTGATTGAGTACGACAGTGGTAATCTCTTCTTCTGATGTTAGAAGCAAATCTGAATCTCATAATTATCTTTTAATTCATATCAATGAAAAATGGGGGAATCCACTGATTTCTTATACTAAGATGCTGTATTTCTTTGACTCATGTAATGGTCAAGCTTAAAAAACAGGAGACTGTGCTTAGCATCTCTAAGTCAACCACCCTGCAATCACTCTGAGAAAGGACAGTCTTATAGTTCAGTCACAAAAGTTTTATGAAGAATCAAACTTTCCTGCCAAAATGTTTTGCCTAGTGCTTGCTTTAATTCCCAATGGAGTAAAACAAGTTGTTCCTATTTGCTAATATTTGGATCTGACTTACAGTGAATCATAGTACTTCAAGTACTGCAGCACAGGCTTTTTTTTTTTTTTGGATTATTTTGTAGTTTCCTGTCCCTTTGTAATGCTGACACAGCTTGCCTGAGTTCGTCTCAGATACACACGTTCTCTGCCAGTACTCCACATCTCCAGCATTTGGATGAGGTGCTATTGCTACCTTCCTGTTAGACCACATCCTAATGTGGTTTTCCCAGTAAGAGGAAGAGAGTTGTGGAGAGCAGAATAGTTATGGTTTCTCCTATGGTAAGTCAGAACTGAAAAGTAAAATGTCATCCATGGGCTTGAGTGAACAAATAGCAACTCATTCTTCAGGATCCTTCCCTGCAAATGCAACGGGAGAGCTGTCATTAGTGTAGCCCTGATTAGTGCCCATCTGAAATGTGATCGTATACCATATTATTCTTTCGAGATCCACTCCAAGGAAATGAAAAACCCTCTATTTTTCCAGTTTAGGGAATTTGCCAGTAGATGGTGCTAGCAATTGCTCCATTCACAATGGCAGCATATGGCACTGACATCAGAAAAAAAGCGATGTTTTATGACAGCAGCAAGAATTACTTCTCTTTGTGAATCTATATTCTGTCAAAGAGTTTATGTTTGGCCTTGCTGAAGTGCTGTCATTTTCATTTAAGCTAAAGGTCCTCTGCAGCAGTCAGCTCCACAAAGGGTCTCACCTCGTCAACAGCAATTTTGTACAAGTGTGAGATTAGCAGAGAAGCTGCTGAAACAAAAGATACTTGTTAAATACAGCGAGGGTCAACTACAGGAAGGTGATGCTCGATGCTTCAAAAACAAGGCCTCAAGGTGCACAGAATAGGTGCAAACTCTTATTAAGAGTGACTGCAGTCCATGCTAACTCGTATGCTTTGCAAACTGGAGGTTTAGCAGTGGTGCTCCACAGCTCCTGCACTGGACTTGAACAGGAGTGGAGCACAGCTGAGGGAGATGAGTTTAAATCAAAGTTACGTGGCAGGAGTCTGCTGATCATCAAGCTTCATATTAATAGATGGTACCTTTGCAAATCTGGGAGGTGAGTTAGGAAGCCTAAAAGTCTCCCATAAGTCAGTAAACTCAAAACTGGCTGAGACAGACCTTTCTGTGATGTACTAGGAAAGTACTCAGCCAGATCCTGTTACATTCTCCTCAATTTTGAAGTCTTAAACAGAGGAAATGAAGCCCACAGCCATACTTTCACCAAAAAGCATGGAACCATGTTACTTTGCTTATTGTTGGTGTACATGGAACAAGCTGGTTTGATGTACTGCCTGGAGGACACCAGATTGGGGAAAAAAAAAAAAAAAAAAAGTTAATGGTGTTTTACTGGTGGAATTTCACGACAGAGTTGAGACCTAGGTGGGAAGCAAGTTTTCTTAGACCTCAGTTTAAGCTTCCTGTTCTTCCTGTAAGACAGCCAGAGTTGTCTTCTCCAACTAATCAGAAAATTTTCAAAAACTGCCTCATGAAAACCTGAAAATGCAGTATCTCCCGTTAGCTGGCTTGGTTTTTCAGACAGCACAGCATTCATCATTTCTCTGTTGTTCCTGGGATCGCTAGTTGCTCAACACTAAATCAAGTTTCTTATTTAAGTTTCTGAAGGTTAGGGTCCTAGTTTAAGACACGCTGCTTTGAAGATTGCGGTCAGCAGCTGTACAGACTTCAAGAAAAAGTTATCCTGATGAAGCAGGTCTCCTCCTGAGTTTTAACCCTGAGAAGTTTTTAATTTCTTTTGTCCCTCCCAGGGAAGGAATTCTCTAAAGATACAAAGAACTTTAAAGTTGTCAGATCAGATGCATGAAATGTATAATTAATGACATAGAACAAAGAGAGAAATCCTACCCTGAAAATCCTGTATATATATATTTTTTTATATATACTCCTGCTTTCACCCTTCCAATTTCTGTAGAACTGTGTAATGCGGTTTAGATGAAATCAGTTACTTCAGGGTAAGAAAACAGTGCCAGTGTTTCAGTTTTCATCTGCACTGAAACATTTCTAAACCTGAGAAAGAATCACTGGCTCGTGGCTTTCCTTTGGCCTCGATGTCACCTCTCCAGCTTTCAAAAAAATACTTGCTTGCCACATGTTGAGCTGATGGTCGCTTTGACGAACTGTATCCCAAAGGTCACTTTATCTTGCATTCCCAAATCGCACTGTGATTAAGGCAAAGCAAAAGTGAGGGGTTCCTATCTATGGCACATCTGACAGGTACGATAGAAAATGCAGACATTATGTTTTCTTGAAGAATTGCTGAGAAAGCAGATGATGGTTCTGGGGCCTACATGAAAGCCATAACATGAGCTTGTCTTAACTCCTTTCATCTTTAATTAGCAAGTATTCATGTTAAGATGCAGGATGTAGAGTTTGCATAGTTGTTAATTATATGAATTTAGATTTTTTTTTAAATCAAACCATAGTTGTTTTAGAAATCCTTGTTTGCCAAGTTACTTTGGAAGGCAAAGTGGGGCTTTTTGATTCTTTTGGAGGTCTTGAAAAAGATCCCATTTAAGGGACAGCCTGCACATAATCACATCTGGTAATTATGGGTGCAGGTATTACTGGATCTTTATTCTTCTTTGGCTTCTTGCTTTTATAAGCAAATTTAAATAAAATATGGTAAAGGAGAAATAATTTACACACAGAAAAATATCACAAAGAAACTTGAAATATAATAGCCATCAGAAATAATCACCTTAAAACTACCATTCTGAGAGTCAAGGTACCATACTCCGTAAGGGGAATCTTAAAGTTGAAATGCTTGCAATCTGCTGAGTAGTTACATTTATACAACCCCAATGTGCCTTGCAGACAGCCTAAGTGTTAAGGTTAAGGCCCAATAAATCATAGAATCATACACAATCCATGGGGCAAAAAATCCAGTAGAAAGTATTTAATGTGGTTTTAATAATTATTCTGAGGTTTTAATAATTCTTCTTTGGGCCTGTACAGAATCACAGATCGGTTGAAGTCGGAAGGGACTTCTGGAGGTTATCTTCTCCAGTCCTCTGCTCAAATGGCCACTCCAGATGGCTTTGGAGTATCTTCAAGGATGGAGACTCCACGATGGTTACACTGCGGTGAAACTTTACGAACCAGGTATCAATCACATACAGAAGAAGTACTACCTTTTCCTGACATGGCAGCTGCTGAGAGGTCTAGTTAGTAGGGTGCAAGGGCATGGCCTGACCACAGCTCCCTAGACAGCTGTGTCTTTGGGTATTCAGCTTCTGTTTGAAATTAGTTTTCAAATGCATCAGATGGTAATTGTTTAGAGGAATAAAATAAAGAAATCATAAGGATGCTTTTGATCTCCTTCAGGCAACAGAATGATTTGGCTTTCATCTCTGAGGGAAAATTGGAAAGTTTAAAAACTTAATTTTCAAGTGAATAGTTTGCATTTTTCTTTTGGCATGGAAACTATGATATGCACTAAATGTATGTCAAATGAAGTGTTCTGCATGTCTGAATATTATTGCTCATGTCAGAAAAGAGGACTCCTTTTCAGAGAAGGACTCCAGGGAGTGAGTTGTCATTGGAAAATTCTCTGTATTTCAGTGGAATTGGGTATGACATGGAAAACCAAAGATGACAGAGGCAATGTTGCGGTAGGGGATTAAGTGTCTGTCGTGATGGCCCTCTGGCCCATAGGACACACAAACTTGGGAGAAGAACCACCATCCATTCTGTGAAGTGTGACTAATAAAACTTGCCGACCTTGGGAATGATCAGGAGTGGTTTACACAGAGATACAGTTGGCATTGCTTCCTTCTTCACAGGGCCTAACTGCAGGGAAGAAGCTGACTTATGGTTAGGTAAAAGTAGAAAACTTGTTAGAGAGTGTTTGATGTTTTTAGTATTTGCTAAATGTGTTGTTTAGTGTTTCTGTTGGGTAGCAGATGTACAACGGAGAACACATGAGCCAAAGGGAATGCTTTCTGATGCTTGATGCAGGGAGAACAAGTCTATTCTACTCTAAAAGTCTCAGTTCATGCAATGTCCTTTTGAAATCCGAGCAGGTTTCACTAACCTGCTGTGTTTAATCTCAATATGTACTCTGTCATTAAAGAGCTGATTTGTTCTTTCATCTGTATTGAAAATTACAGTGTTCTCATGGAAACTGCCATCGCCTCTGGAGAGGACTACAGCAAGTCTTCTAAACCTTTCTAAGTGGACATTAATGACTTTATATGTCTTTAATGTAAAATAAATAGCAAAAAGCCACAGTTCAGCACAGGAAATGAACTGAAGCTCACAGTGATTTAGTTTCCAAAAGTTTGCTCATGGAATTTAACTTTGTTATGGTGTCTATTTTAGAAGTTAATTTTTGAGAGAGAAATATAGAACACAGACTAATAGCTATTTTGGTCAGGAATGCTTGAAAAAAAGCCATCTGCTTTCATAGACACATGAGGAGCGGCTGAGGTCCCTGGGTTTGCTCAGCCCCGAGCAGAGCAGGCTGAGGGGAGGCCTCATGGCGGCCTGCAGCTCCCTCACGAGGGGAGCGGAGGGGCAGGTGCTGAGCTCTGCTCTCTGGGGACAGCGACAGGACCCGAGGGGATGGCATGGAGCTGGGACAGGGGAGGGTCAGGCTGGGGGTTAGGGACAGGTTCTGCAACCAGAGGGTGCTCGGGCCCTGAGCAAGCTCCTCAGGGCCTTTGGTCATGGCCTGGTGCCTGCCGGCATTCAAGAAGCCTTTGGGCAATGCTCTCAGACACAAGGTCTGATTTTTGGGTGGTCCTGTGCAGACCCAGGACTTGGACCCGATGATCCTCGTGGGTCCCTTCCAGCTTGAGGGTTCTGTGAGCCTGTGATTCACAGACTTTCATTAGAGATGGTAAACAGAGAGACTGGATTTGTGTGCCTGAGATGACATGTTCTACCTGTATTTTCTGAGGCAAAGTGGCAATACAGTTTTCCTTCTGGCAGAATTTGTATTATTAATTTATGGAAACTTCAGGCAGAGAGGAATCCAGAATAGTGTTTTTAAATGCTTATAATCCAGGCATCTAAAAATAAAACGTTACAGTTCTTTCTATAGCCTGTTGTCTCGTGACTTCTTTTTAGTTCTTTCTTGAGTGAGCTTCTTTCTTTTTCTGTTTGGTAAGGCTACTACAGTATAACCCCATATGTATAAAAAAAGAAAAACAAAGTTTAGAAACATCTGCTTAGATTTATTTTTTTTTAATTATTTTTTATTTAATTAACAACTAAATGCTTTTCTGGTTGTGGGGAATGTAGCAACTTGAATTGGCTTCATTTATTCTCTTAAAATTGAAAAATTTAAAGACTTGAATTTCATCACTATCTTCATCCTCAGACCATTTTGAGATGATGCAGTTTCAACTTGTATAGTGTCTCATAATATTTTACATGTTTTTAATATGAGGTTCCAGTTTATTAACTGTGCAGTGCCACAGTATGCTATTAGGCAGCCAGGTTATAAGGACAGAACTCAGCACACATTTCAATTTCCTTACCCTTACAAATAGGACTTCAGGTACCACGGAGATGGAGTCTTCCTCATTCTTTCAGACTCTAAGTCTTCATCTTTATTCCAGACACCGCTAGAGTAGATGAGCAAAGTTATGGTAAAGTCTTTTTATAAGGGGCTTATCTTCCCTCCTTTATGTCTGCGGTTTGTATCATCCATCAATTTGTGGTCATAAGGTTGAAAACAACATTTTTCCACTGAAACAAAATAAAATTCTTGACTTGATTCAGAGCAGGGCTCCAGGGTACCTCTTTGGGTTATAAGTTATAGGCATCCCCTGCCCAGCAGGACTTTCTTTTGCCTTTTCTACATTTCCAGAGAGGTGCAATGTAGCAAAGAGGTGTTCAAAATGAGGGTTTGGGGGCTTTGCCACCTCGGGTGACACCAGGCCACCTGGGGTCATAACCAGCAAGAGCAGCAACTGGTTCACTCGCATGGCAGCAGAGCCCAGTGAGCACCTGCTCTGCTTGCTCTGGTGAATGCATTTAAATATGGATTAGTTAATTGGTTACAACACATGAGGTTCTGAGGTGTTCCTCCTAGTTCCTTCATCTTCCTTGTCCCAGAATGTCTTTTAGGTGGGACACCTGGGGACTGAATCAAATAGTTTCATGTTTTCTTGCAGAAGAAGAGACTAAAGATCTATAGTCAGCTATGAAATGATGAACGAGGTGGCAGTGGTCCCTCCTCCTGCTATTTGGTGAAATCTAATCTTGCATTTCAATCTTCGATGCAGTCTGTTTTGTTCCAGATCAAATGAAACATTTTGTGTGGAAATGACCTTTTTGTTTAAGCAAGGAAAATGGAACAAATGTATTTGTTTCAGATTGAACTGATTTAATTTTTGGTTCAGTTTTTGATCTAACATCATGGTACTGAGGACAAAATATTAAGCAGTGAAGTAAAGAAGGATACACTGGAGTTACAGCTCATAGCTGAGAAACCTCAGTTGGTCTGAAATACTACCACAACAAATGAAGTGTTAGTGTCTGGAAACCTTTCTAGTCACTTTCTGAGCCATTAATTTGGCGTGCTGTGGAGATCACATATGAGTTTCCGAATTTGTGAGGTTCTGACTTGGTTCCTTGTCCCATATTTTCTGGTGCATAATGAAATTAGAGATCTAACAAGAAAGCATGAGAATGAATTTTTGAGTATTGGAAAATACAGCCCCAGTAGCTAGCCCTTTGGGAACTATTTCTTTATGTATAGCTAAGGTCTGCCTCCTGCATGTGTTATCTGATGATTGCCTGTGTGGAAAATACATAATTTTATATGTAATGAAGCAGTGTACCATTTGTACAAGCAGACATGCTGGAAATTAAACCATGAATGAGGGTATTTCAATCCACTATTCTCAATGCTGTTCTGGGAACGTATGGTTTCCTAAATCACAGCTGGACATCTCTGATAGGTACATCTTTAGGTGTTTTGTACAGAAGAACTTAGTTGGTGGTGCAAAATAACCAGAATGTATCATGACAAATGTAGCTTCATTTATTTATTTTTTTTTAAATGCAACATAATGTTGCATTATTTTTAATTTATTTTCAGTTTTTAGTATCAATAATAATGAAGAAAATGCTTTTTCTTTAATGCACTTTTTTTTTTTTTTTAGCTTCCTCCTTCAGACAAACTGCCAAGCCAGCGTCATGGCACCATCCTTTCTTGTGAGCACACTAGTTAGCTGCGTACAATACCTTCAGCAGGTTTGGGAAGATGGGAAGTAAATGATATGGTTGCCTGCAGAAGTATGGGGTTGCTTTTTTTTTTGGTTGTTTTGTTTTTTTCATTTAGGACAAGTGAGTTTCAAAAAATGTTTTATTTCTATTCTTTTGCCCAGTATTGATTGAAAAAAGAAAGCCTTTTGGTACAATAAATATAAATGGCTGAAATAAAAGGTATCCCAATATGCTGCCAAATAACTAAAATGCATTATCAAGTGATGCACATTGAGAAGTTTTTTTTTTTTTTTTTTTTTTTTTTTTTTTTTAATCTCCCTTTCTCCCTTGCATACCTCATCACAACTAACTACTTCTGAAGTATGCCAGATTGATAGCCCTGGAGACAAAATGTAACGCTGCAAGGGCCAGAACAGTGTTAGGTACCTGCCTTTTAGGATGCTTCAGCTAGAAGAGGAGTGATCACTTTGGAAGTATGTCATCTCACATCATTAATTCTACCTACTCGATCCTTTCTGAGTTGTCCAACAAAGACACCTTTGTATCAGTTACTACATCTGCTACCACCAAAGAAGCTTTTGTAATGTGAATATACTTTTACTTACAACTGAGTGGAGAGAAGCTCATTTTTTTCTAAATTTAATTTCTATTCCTGCTTTTATTTTTCCATTTTAACATAGATTTAGAACATGATAATTCCAAAAATACTCCTTGCTTGTATATGGCTCTTTGTAGCTCAGAACAACACCACAGGACATCAGAGGGACAAAATGAAATACAGATAGATGTGGTATTTCTGTATCCTGCCCGTATATAATGAAAAGGTCCCTACTGATGAAGAGTATTTAATCATACTTTATATTTGAGTGTGTCCATATACATATGATCTCTTTTTTCCCAATTAGATGGAAAATAGGACTATTCATATAGTAAACCTCTTTTTTTTTTTTTTTTTTTTTTTTTTACATGAAGAACTGCAGGTAGGATAATCTGGGTTTAGTTTATATTCTGTAACACTGAAAGCTCTGTAAATTCCATTGTTTTTCCTGGGAATGCACAGCTGCACTTGAAGTTACTACTAATGAAGCAGTATGTTAGGATACAGAAATCCTTACAAATATTTAATCTCTTCTGGTAAACGGACTGTGACTGTGATTCCTGGAGCTGTTCCTACACACTCCTGTGTGTTCAGCCCTCTCCTAAGGTCCGAAGTGCCCCTTTCCTGGCTAAATGATTTTTCCTGCAGTATCCCTGGCAGACCTTTTTTGACATTCCACATATACAGACCACCAAATTAATTGTAGAAATAATTTGCTGGAATCTTCCAATCATCCTTCTTTTCACTTTGTTTTGCTTCCATTGAAGGTCTCTCTCCTACCAGATAGAGCTTTGCTAGGCAACAAAAAGTATGCTTTTTCAACAGGTGTATGATGAGAGTTCTGAAGTGTGGTACTGATTTTTAGAAATGACAGTTGTCCTTAATTCCAGCTGAGGTCTGTGGGTGCCACAGAAAACCAGACCTGTGTGAGCTCAGAAGAGAAAGCAAAATGCTGGCTGTTCCTACACTGAGGAATTCAATATTTCTTGAGCATTGACATGGATTTGATGATTCAGGTCAATGCAGCATTTCCTACTATCTTTTTTACTTAAAAACTTTTTTTTTTTTTTTTTTCTTGAGAAATAACTGTCTTTGTTCTAGTCATGTGTTTGTACAGACATCACTGCTGCACTGGACCTGATATGAAATTGTTCATAGTTCAGTGAGAAGCCATTTAAAAATCAGTCCTGGCTCCACAGATGCTATAAACATCCATTTTGATCGGTTAGAAAACATGGTTGCTTTTAGTAAAAGTACAATCTGGGATGATTTTGTTTTGATTGTTCAACACTGCTGATGTTGAAAATAGGTATGTCAGCATTCGAAAGATGGTCCTGAGGCACTCAGATTTTTTAATAGCAAGCAAAATTTTCATTAACAGGCAATTTTAAAAAGCAATAACATTCATTTTTTGGACTATTAAGCATATAGAGTGTTTATATTTCCAGCAAAGAATGAACTAATGGAAAATAAAATTCTGTCATGCACTAGTGCCACAGCATTGCAACATAATGTATGTGAGGCTGATTACAATTCAGCCTTTCAACAGGATTATACATGATCAAAGCTTCTGGAGTGAGAACTATGTAACTTAAATGATCGAAAACAGTTTTAATGTTTAACTTAGTCTTCTCTCTCCTTTCAAATCAAAGCTCATTTCTTGTTAATGCCTTAAACTAAAAAAAAAACAGCTGTCGATCTATATACCTTCCTAATTACAGGCAGACGTGTTCAGTGTCATCTCCGTTAGATATACAGCCTACGCAGGTGCATGTTACTGATAAGATTAACTGTATTTGCCTAAAACGATCTGCCATTTTTGCTAAGTAACAGATCAGTGCCAGTTCACGCAAAGGCAAAACGCAGTCCTTCAAAGTCTGTTTCCATGCTGGTGTGAGAGAACTTCCCAGACCTCTTCAGGAGGCTGCACCTCCACTGAGAAGTACGGCCCAACTCTTCTGCAGTGCCATGACTTTCCGTGCTCACCTGCGACTTCTCTGAGAGTGATAATTCACTTTGGAAGGCCTGGTACGTGGAGTGGTTATCCATCACGATCAGCACATCTCAAACTGTCAGATACGCTTCCTGGGGGACTCTGTCAGATGTTAACTTAATGATTTTAAGTCACTAAAGTTTCTTCTGAATTTTTATGGACATTGGCACAATGCCAATGTCAAGAAAAATTCTGTAGTTTTGACAGAAGTAGTAATGAGAGCTAACACCAAACCTCTTATTAAACCAACTCTTAATCAGTTCCCCAAAAAGACTCATGAAATCAAAAGCAGTCTTCTGGTTTTGATACAGAACTCTTGAAGACCTAATCTCATTCTCTTTATTTTCCTACAAGCTGGTATCTACATCAAGTAACTTTCTGAAGGGCCTGGTAGCTGATGCTGTTTGATGCTTGGAACAAACCCAGGGCTGCTTCACAAGGACCAGAACAGGTTCTCTTCCATGACTACTTTCACAATCACATTGATACATTGTCTTAGCAAATTAAACCTTTGTTTTAATTGCTGCTGCTATTTTAACTCCCACTAAAGCCCACAAGGCAGAATTCTCAGTTCATCTCTGCAATCCCTGTCTATTAGTTAATTATCCCAGACCCAGATTTGTAGAGCTTCTTTCAGTCTTTACAGGTGCACTGCTAAGCTGTCTCAGTGTACAACTCTGTCCCTCAGTATCAGAATATTCAGAATATGTGGCCTAGGAAGGACACAGAATCAAATGGCAGAGGAAATCTGCTTGCAAGTGTATTTAACAGACAAATCAAATAAAGGAACTATGTATGTAAGTACTTTTCTTGAACAGACAACGCTTGTCAGGAAAATTTCAAAAGCAAAATAAAAGGAAACGTTTGAACACAAAAAAATAATGTCCCCTTTTCTCCCCTTTCCTCCTCTTTTCCCCTCCAATTTCATCCACCATTCTGATGGAGGAAAATCCAAAGTATTTTGGCCATAATATATTGGGTTAATTGGGTTGCCTGCTCTTCTAGAAATATATACTTTTTTAATGAAAAAAAATATTTTTCTCATATTTGATGGCTGCACTGAATTCTTCCAAAAAAGAAATTTATGGTACACATGGTTACCCGAAAGTAAGGAAAATGAACTATTTTGTTTTAGGACTGTTATCAAATGTCTTATCTATATCATCATCAGAGTGTTTTATCTTTTTACTAACACAAAATTATGCTTATATTAGAGAGTGAAGAGACAAGTTCTGTAAATTAGCACTTCAAAGGATTGGCTGATGTCAAAAGAGATGCAATTTGCACAACACTTTTTACATCTATTTTCCTTGCTTCCAGATCTCTTCGGAAATCATTATGGAAAGTGTTGAACTGGCAACTTCTGACATTGATATGTTGCACTACGTCTCTGCAGCATATTAAAACTCTCTGTAAGCTTCTAGCGTACTGATATGCATCAGCCAGAAACAGTAGACTTTGTCGTATTCTCATGTTTTTCTAGTGAGACTGCCCTCAAGGCAATTTACAACACTGCTGTGAACATATGAAATCCTTCTTCCACTGAGAAGTCAGCTTGCCACTGGACTTAACGGAGCCAAGACATCATTTTCATTCACTGGAGTGAGGCACGGCTTGGACAAAACAACGGTGTGAAAATGAGCGAGTCAGCAAGCTTTTGGTATGTTTGCAAATGAGAATCAGACACAGAAATTCATGCCCCAATTTTAAAAAGCACATAAGGAAAAGATTGGCCCTCACAGTTGTAGCAGCAACACAACACGTATAACCAAGTCCTGAAATCCAAAGCAACATTTATCAGCCCGTCAGCCCTTGCAACAGCATACGTCTACTTTTATTTCTGCACTTAAAATTGTCCTTGCTTCTTTTTCTGAAGGCCCCCAAGATCCTGATTATGCCTGTCAGTGAATGTCTATATAAAATAAACAACACTTGTAGACAAAGACAGGCAACAGCATTGAGCAACCTTTTTTTTTTTTTTTTTTTTTTCAGTTTCTTGTACAATAACAATTAATCTTTAGGTAAGAATTTGCGTATAAATTAAATTCACTTCTTTTTTACTTTCCTTAAACAATTTATTCTGCTAGTGAGCTGATAAAACTTTTGTTTGGTTCTTTCCTATTTAAAATTAATAACAGTTTTAGGTTACTGATTGTTTAGAAATTGGCAATGTGGAAGAAGAATGCAATTCCCTGTGCTTTTATCTATCAGTTGTGTGGTGGGTGTTTATTTTTTTTTTTTTTTGAGTCCACAGATCTGCCTGGAAAGTGCAGTTAAGACGAGGGAGCTTATGTTGTACTAATGACAAGTAAATCCATTTCAGGAAAGGCTTGCGATTGAACTGCTAGGGAAATTTGCTCCTACCACTGTTAATAGCAAATTACAGTCTGGAACCAGTCAATGACCTTAACTGCATTAGAAGCTATTTCTCTTTTTATGCAAATTTGAAAGACAAAAAAACCAAGTGACTTAGGATTCATAACCTAATTCTCTCTCCCCCCTCCCGATTTCTATTAGTTACCGTATGAACAGGATGGAAGGAAACTGAACTTAGGAGTTTTTAAGAGTTTCTAAAAGTGTTAAAAGTTTTTAACGATCAGCTCCTAGCAGCTCTGTCATGAATGCAGAATGCCCATGAACTCAAGAAACAACTCCATTTTAATGATGTCCATTTTCTTACCCAAACTGAAATAAAACATTGCCTCCCTATAATGTAATAGGTTTCTCATTTTGATTACTTGTTCAGATGCCCTTGTGCTACAGCATGAAGGCATCTGAACATTTACCTTTCCCTCTGCTCATACTGGTCACCAGTATTCTTTGCCAAAAAAGCCAGGAGAGAGAACGTCATTAGGTACTTTAACAGGCACCAGACATTTGCTAGCAAGGAAATTTGAGGAGGACCAAGTAATGTTATCAAAGGCAGAAAAAAGAATTTCTCTACAACATTTTTTGTGTCTTCCCGAGCTGCTCTTCACTCTTCAGCACACCGTAATTTTTACATGGCTTTGTGTTTCCCACAATTTACCAGAATGTCGACAGATTGAATGGTTATAGGTTTTCATGGCAAGAAAGGGTATTACAAAAGTCATAAGCGAAAAAAGCAGCACTGGAAACCTGTTTCCTTATGGATGCTCCAGTCGAGCTGTTATAATTTCCAACACAGTCATAATTATTTGAGCAGGGAAAACATCACACACTAAATGCGTATAATTATTTGGATAATTTTCTACTTTGGACAGATTGCGACAATCTTACATAAACACTGGCACAAAGCATTAGGGCTGTCTGATTTTTGACCCAGATCTGATTATTTTGCAGTACACACAACCGTGCTTCCAGTGGTAGATTCCCCCATGTAAAGTTCCTAAATGCAGTAAATAAAGCCATCTGCTGTGGAAGCCGGGTTTTTAAATTATATGCCCTGTTAACCACTGGTCTGCATATGGAGCTATTCATGTCTTAAAACACAACTGTGTGCCTTTCTAAAAGGAGTTTTGTTCTCCTCATATTACATATTTCTGGGCCAGTCATCAGATATCTTTATTCTTACATTTACTTGTGTCAGACTGACTTCAGTCTTTTCCCTTTTTATTGATCTTTCTTCTTCCCTTCTACTTCATACATTCTCTTCATCTCTATCATAAATACAAATTCAATAAAAAAAAATCAATGAAATTGGATATTTATTTAAAAATATAAGTGTAGCATACATAAATAGCAAACAAATAAAGTATCTTGTATGGAAGGGATCTCAGCAGCCTCTAGTCCAACTTAAACATCCTCCTCTCTGTTGAAGTGAGTGAAAAGCACTCTTAAGTAAGGGGAATTTCTATGGTAGTCATGATTTTTCCGAACCTGCCAAACAGCTGTTTAATAAAAATAAAATTCTTTGTTTTCCTCTTTGATAATTTGTTTAGCTAAATTGTTGTTGGGTGAGCAAGTGGTTAAATTGCTATTTCCAGTACTGCTCTTTTGCTCCAGTCATTCTCTTTAGTCACTAAGAGTGCTAGTTCTGGTTAGAAGAGGGGAATGAATATAAGTTCGTGCTGCAAATTTCCATATGGAAGGAGCATTGTGTGCTGTTCCATCAACCATTCTGTCACCTATGCAGTCTGTATGGGTTATTTCAATAGGGATAGTTCAGTATTTGTCCTGTTTTTTATTCTTATGGGAGAAGATATAATACATCAGACACTGATCTCTCCTTAAGGAAACTGGGGCAACATCTGGATTGATACCAGCTAAGATTCTGCTCAGCTGGATTTATTTTTATCTAAGTCCTAGAGACTTCTTATTTTATTTTATATTATGTTATGTTATGTTGTGTTATTTTTTTAAGAGGTACTTTTATTTCCTACACCAGAGTCTTGCCCTGTTAGTCTATGCCAAGGCTTCATGGCTCTTGGTGATTCTGGCATTACAAATGTTCCACCAGTCACACAATTTGCAAAAAGGAAGTTAAAACTATGGAACAGTACTGTGGGTAACAATAAAATGTAAACATACACCCCAATAGTATATGATCTTTTGCAAATTTTTAGATCTCTGGTCTACCTTTCAGCAAAGCTCATGCTTCTGTTTGCCCTAATGCCTGTGTTTGAAGTATTAAATACCCTAAATGAGGCTGGAAAGACTAAGTGACATTTTTTTAAAAGCTACCATTCTCATAAGGCAAATCTTCCAGCATCACTCTGAAGATAAGGATTTGAGTTTTTATCAGTCAATCCACAGCTTATTGGGGCTTGTTTCAGTGGTCAATTACCCTTGTTGTTAAAAATCTGTGCTCAATGTCTACGCTTACTTTAAACCTTCATTTTCTGTCATATCTATTAATGAAAATACAATTTTATGAAGAAAATAAGGAACAGGAATAGCTACAAGAAATACCGAGGAAATGAATTGGAAAAGATCTGAGGCAAGTCTTGGCTATTTCTGAATCTCAAAAGCGGCCAGAACTAAACCAGAATTTTTCACATGAACCAAGTACTGAGCAAACATTTCTAAATTATTCAATCAGTTGAATTAAAAATACAAATTAGTATCTTTAAGGTGGGATGTTTTATATAGTAGCTACCCTCACTGACTCCTAGCTTAAAGATTACTTGAGGATGAAATACATATTTTTTGTGATAGACTGAAAACCGTTTCACATTAATCATTTCAGAGAGGGCAGATAAAAAATCAACACCTTGATGGAAAATATAATGAAATATCCTGATTAGATAGATGTAACAGAGTGTTTGAAATGCAAACGTTGAAAAATGGCTAAATTATTTGACATCCATTTTTTTTTTCCATGTTCTTTTTCTCTGTAATTTTGCTTTTTTGCTAAAGGCTTAATCCTGCTACTTTTAAAATGGTACATTACCCACAAAATCAAATGAGATCCTGAGGGAAGTATTCAAAGAGAAGGAAAATGGGGATGTTTCTACTTCTTGCCATTTGGCAATTAACTGAAATGTCTAAATTAGAAGAATAGTTTCCCTCAGTTTACCACACGATTGATACAGAAAGGACATTCAAGCAGGCAATTCAAAGTGCTAACCTAAGTTCTTGCTATGAATGGTCTTTTGGAGGTCCTGTATATTTTCCCCTAGACTGCACGAAGAGCTTACAAAGTGTAAGATAATTACTTAAATTTAGGGGATGTTAATAGCCCTGAAAAGTGTTGGTAGACTCCTGAACAAATAAATGCCACCTGATACCAAATGGTGGGCTATTATGCCATATGGGCAGTTAATCTAGAACTGCTTAGAATTTATTGGCAAATAAACTAGTTAGAAGTGGATATAATTCAATCCAACCTTTATCTAGGAATTTAGTGCTATAAAAAAGTACACTGAAAATCTATATAGAGAACATTTTGCAATTAATTATAATGGTCTTTTTTTTTTTTTTTACATCATTGTGGCACCAGTTTTTATTAATGAGTAATGTACCCTGTACATTAAGATGCCTGCAGGCATCTTAAGAAAAACGTCTCATTTTCACAGAGCTGAGATGGTTTGTGTTTAGTTAGATTTTCTGCATGCTCACATCAGGAAACAATTTCCTTAGGACTGCCTTCAACTTTGTATATATTTGAAATATTTCATTTCTTTCCCTTTTTCCTTTCTTCTCATTTTTCCTTGTGACCGGCTACAGCATTCTTCTGAACTTCTTCGTCACGGTAAATATGCTGCAAGAACAGCACAGTGACACAGAAAGCAAAATAGATCCATCATTTATTCAGCTTTACAGGGACAGGCTCACAGAAATCCGGATTCACTCCCTGTTCAATCACTCTTCTCCATACTAGGAATATGGTTGTAAAGCAAAACAGACCAGCTGCAGTTTAGTAGGTCATTAACTGTTTTGAAAGCTCCATCACGTCTCTTCTTACTGACAAGCAGTTGTATGCACTAACAGAGCACCCATATCTGCAGGGGGAGAGAACTGCATCCTCTCCTCTTACATGACATCTTCATCCTTTTCCTGCAGGACTGTGCCCATTTGGAAAGAATAACCTATCTGATATATTCTTCATCATTGAACATACTTTTTTTTTGGTGTGTGTTTGTTTGTTTGTTTTAATTTATTTCAGACTGGTGGAACTGTGTTATTTCTGGTTTAACTGGGCTTTTCTCTTTGGTATTTCCTAACATCTTAAAAACTGCCCCGCTTCACACTTCACAACCTGTCTCAACTTGAAGGCTTCTTGTCTCTCACCCTTCAAGCAAGACCTAGTTTTGCATAATTTACACACTTTGCAATTCAGAAGCTTTTTGGATGATATCCCATAATGATGCTCAGCTCTTTTGTTTCAAAGACAGCTTGCTACTATTTGACGGAAACATCAACAGAAGCCCATAGCAATGAATGATCATCACTAACTCACGTTGGAAAGTATGTTCCACAAACACAGTCATCATTGTTAAAAAAAAAAAAAAGTGTTAAGAGTAAGAATATAGACAAGGCAATGATGAATAATTAGATAAATAAAAAGTTTTTTTTTTTTTTATATAAAAAAAGGTAAATTATTCTTTGATATAACCATGCTCTGGATTGATTGACATGAAAGCCATAGCTCCACTGTGCCCTATAACTAGTGGTAAATATTTCGCTTTGCATTAGGAATGTTTAAAGGACTCCACACTGAAACACACACAAAAAAAATATTAAATCTAACATTAACTATGAAGTTAATATAGCAGAATGTGTAGATTTAAATAACTGTCAACGTGACTTCTGTTTTTCCTTTATCATATTTTTATGTGCAATCTACCTGATTTTAAATGTGATGCTTATTGAAAATGCAAAGTATGCCATACATAAAACATGGACACATGTCCATGTTTTGTGTGAGAAATTTAACTTTGCTTCGTGGTCACATATAGTATAGCAATATGTATACTGTCCTCCCACTAGATGGATCTGTTCTGTTCCCTCTCCCATATGTATTCGCATCTGCCATAGTAGGAGGTAACCAGTTTAGAAATGGAGAACAGATCCTTGGACCTAATTCTGATCTAATTTACATCACTTAGTAACAGCGTTAGCAGCCCTCTGTGCTGAACATCCACTTTAGTTGTGATTTCTAACCCCTTCACCCAGTAAGGATTTCTTTTTGTCAGGTAATTCCCACATACATTGTAATACAGTTTCTGTATGTACGGACACTGGCAGAAGCAAATCTGCTTTAGCATTTTGAGATGCATGGGAAGATCTGAAATATTTTTATTTTTGAAATATCGCCTTCTGTGTCTTCTGTTGAATACAAACAAGGTTTGTAAGTTTAGGTTTTTAAGTTTCTTTCCCAAGGACAGCTTTTTCTGTCTTAATCCTTTTTGCCATGTAACTTTTCTGATACGGATCAATACTGAGCACGGTATTACCACTGTACCTAAGAGCATTATAAATACCATCGACATTAGTCTCATTTCACATACATCTGAATATCTTGTTCAATTTTTTGGTTTCATTGAACAGAGACCTTCACTGAACTATCTCTGACAGTTTTGTCCAATTTCAGAGCTGTTACAGTGAACTGAATCCTGTTAAATCCTACAAACCCTGAAATTTGTAGAAAGTAAACAGGTTGGTCATAAGCACTAGCTTCTTTGGTCCCTTCTTGGATGTTTTTAACAGTGTTTTTTTTTTTTTTTTTTTTTTTTTTTTGTTTGTTTGTTTGTTTTTCCCAATTGTTCTGTATAATTGCATTTAGGTTCCCAACAATTGGTTACGGTGATGTTTGGCAACACTGACACAGAAAGCATGATGCAAGGGTAAGGCTTTTCCTTTAATTGTAACTGGAATTCTTGAAGGAAAAATAAAACAGTAAAATTGGACACTAGTAGTTATATAGAAGGACACATAAAAGCACAAACAAATAATTAAGTCTGTAAACTCCTTATTAAAAACAAGAGAAGGATGGGGTACTAGATGTCACCTTGTACAAAAACTGGATATTGACAGCAGCAGACCAATGGAAGTCAGAAATAGGGAGCATATCAAAAAAGATTAATTCTCAGTGGAAAGGTGATTTTCTCCTAAGAAAATGCTTAATGCTTGCTGTGAAGTTAAAGAAGAGCACACAGCAGAAAATGATACCTGATAGCAACCACAACTTTGCTGCTCATAAAACTGTTAACTAAGCACACACAGTATTTGCAGCTCAGAAATGTGCAACTTTCCATAAAAATTTCCATCTGTGGGAAACTATGTGTATTGAAATTCATAGAAATGCTTGCTCACTGCAAAAATGTTCCACGTCCAAATTAGATGCCTTTCGTGAGGCAGTAAAATATTATAAATTCACTATCTTCACCTGCACACTTTCAAGTTGATTTTACACTAGACTTGTAATAGTATCAACATTGGCAGACTTCTACCACTGACAAAGTAATTAGTATATGAATACTGAGGTCCATTTCTAACTTCACATAGACAGTCACAACTGTGCACTGGAGGACATCTTAGAGTTGATCTTTCTTCCCTCTCTGAGGCTGTGTCTTTAGGTAGATGTCAGTATCACAAATGACAGCAGGGACTTATTTTCCCAATCTTGTGTGCTTAGTTAGGGAAGATCAGTCTGCACTGGATCTTGGAGGCTCTGTACAATTTTTGTTCTCCTCAAGGGGGAACACTGCCCTATACACAGGATAAGAAAGGGGAAGGTGAGGCTTTCCTTCCTGCCACCCCCATGCTGAACAATTCTTGCTGTTAACATCCGCCTGCCTAATACCCTGTATGTCAGCACTGCTAGGTGAGCACTGATTCCACAGCGAATGCCACAGGAGAGCAAGGAGGACACCATGATCCTTCACGTCCTTCTAGCACTTTCCACAAGGCTTCACCACCACACATCCTGTATCATTTGCACCTGCACCCTTAGAGGGCCTGCAGCACCTGCTAGCAGGTCCCAATTAACCAAGTGATGGTTCAGGTGCACTCTGACATAAAAACTGGGGAGAGAGCACACTGCCCCTCCGGCAGGAACAGCCCCTGCAGCAGGAGGTGTGGAGGACACAGGACTGCATCCCCTACTCTCCTATGGAAAAAGAAACAGCCTATCGCAGCTCAACCTGGAGGAAGGTACAACTTTTGCTGTGACTACTAATGGATGATGCTCTTCAGGGTTTGTGCCGACTGGAGGTGCTCACTGAGCTACTTTTACACAGTGGGGCTGAAGCATTTGCTGCCCTGGAGGCACAGGTGCCTGCCCTCAGGCCTGTGCTGCTTGCTGGGCGGCCTGCCACCACCTTTAAAAGCCACAGGCCTGCGGCTACTCCACTAGCACAGCCTACTCTGTGGCGGCGACCCACACATACACCACCCTGCCCCGGCTTGGGGGACGCTTAACAAAATGTCCGCCGCCCCAGCCGTCCCCTCAGGGCTGTCCCCTCCCCTCCCCGCCCCAGGCTGGCCATTGGCTGCTGCTTCGTGCTGCTGCTGCAACAAAATGGCTGACGGCCATTTGATTCTGATATAAAGATTTAATTCTGTTATAAAGGAGTTCAGGAGAACAGTTTTTCTCCGAGAATCTTTATTTCAAGATAAAGCTCTTTATGATAGTATCCACTGTATATTCCAGCTCTGGAATTCCAGTTTTATTTCTCCACCAAAGACCAAACCCAGCTAGAGATAATGCTTTTGCCTGCATGAACCTTCAATAGATGTGTAAACACAATACAAAAAATGGTATTACTGTATATTTATATTACACTGTGGTGAGAGATCATAAATGAGGATCTCTCTAGAGTGCTTGGAGCTGCTCAAGAGATGTTGGTCTAGACTGAGACCACAGCAGGGCTGAGGTGATGTTCCCAAGGCACAGCACCCTACCAGTCTGGGTACTTTCCTTTTCTGAACCTCATACACAGATTCAGATATGGACCCAGCTGCTCACTGCAGGTTTAGTTGGCTTTTTAACTGTGGCACTCTCTGTTACAAGCTAGAAGCTATTTCTAAAGGGAAAGCTTACGAGAGCTTTACGTTGTACTGCAGGATAACAGGCTGAAAGATGTGTCTGGAGCTCATCAGCTCCAGGCTTGTGCTTAAAGCATGGGCCCACATCAGAGTTGGTCCATGCTGCCCAGGATGATGTTCATGTGAGTCCTGGAAGTCTTGAGATATGGAGGCTCCTCTTTAGACTGGTGATGCCACTGCTTAACCATTTCTGCCAAGAAATTCTTATTTTCTTGCGTGTAGTTGCAATTTCCTCTCTTGCAACTTGTGGTTACTCCTGTGTGTCATTTTGCTGACTCTGTCTTAGGAGGGTGTGCTTCATATCTTCTCTGTAACCTTGCCTTATGTTGCTGAGCACAGCAGTAATGTTTTCCTACTACAGGATATCTCCACAGTGAACAACACCTGTTTGTTCAACCCCCGTCTATAATTACGTTGCTCCAGCCTCAATGTTAGTGGCCTGTCAGAGGTCCGTGCCATTTCAGCCTCCATTCAGAGGGCCATTTTAGTGGCCCCGCACTGGGTTTGTTCCAGTTGTCAATTCCTGAGTACAGAGGCTCAAAGCTAGACAGGGCATTCTGGCTGCCGAGGAGGGGGATGCAGACACTCGACTTCCTTTATCCTTGCTGTGCTCACTAATCTGCACACTATCAACTCGAACTGAAATCCTTGGCCAGATGAGACCCCAGAGGTCCTTTTCCAGCCTGTACTGTTTGATGGGATATTCTGTCCACGGAGCAGGACTCTGCATTTGCCTGCTTATTTTATCAACTTCGCTTTCTACTCCTCTAAAGCAATAACGTAGAGCAGCAGTGCAGAACGAGAGCCTGCAATCTTGATACTGGGTATTACAGCTTCCTTACTCTCTCATAGCAGATGCATCCGGAATATCTGAGTTAGCTTTAAAGTTTTGTGCCTCTTAAAAAATGAGGAAAAGATGTCCCTTTCTCAAGTGTCTTCTGGATTACTTTGCAAACTGCAATAAACTACAAAGCAAAATCTGAAATCTGGTTGTATGAGTTCAGGATAATGTGCTAGTCACTGTTATCTGCTGTAGTGAGTGGAATTGAAGGTACATCAGCCTGGCACAGATAATGATTCCTCTGTATCTCTTTTGCTGAGGTACTTGGAATATCCACCCTACCTTCAAAAGACTGTAAAATCTGACAATTTGCAGGTTTACATTCTGAATTTTTATCTTTTGGCAGGGTCTGCCAGCTATATTGAAATGATATTGTATCATGTACGGGGAAATAGAAAGCTATCATCTCAAAATAGACCATAATATTGCACCTTATTAAAAAATACAAGTGGATTTTGTGCCAGCAACCATGACTTATGATAATGACTGTTATCAATATGCAATTACTTCTGTTACCCTAGAACATATTGACATTCATTTACTTAAAGATAATGTAACACATTTGTATTCATTGAGGTAATCTATGGATATGATTAAATGTGAATGCCCATCTTATACCAAATAGTAAAATGAAAAAAAAATATATATGTAATCAGACCTTCTGCAGTGCTAAAAATAGGCTGCATTAAATTCTGGAAATTGTATTTGAGCTTATTTGAAATGGTGTCAAACAACCATAAAGAAGGAAAAGCACAACTTGGGTGATTACTAATACCTACCTCCATCTGTAGTAATGATGTAGGGGGAAAGCTGGCAATAAGGAAGATTTCCAACTGTAGTTCTCTGTTTGTGGACTGCAGGGCACACGGTGTAGGACAGAAGTCCATTTAAATGGTGAATCAGCAGTGCTGAGTGAGAGTGGTTCTCCAGTGTCAGGTTGTTACAATGATGGTAACTTTGAGGTCCACTCCAGAGCCACGAATTATCCTGAATATTTTGAGCTTAGAAGTGTTTTGGTGGTGTTTTAAGAATGAAGCTCAGCACGTTTGCTTCTCTAATTATATGGTACGAAACGTTAAATGCATTTTTACAGCTAACTATGTATGCTGTTAGCTGAGACTAGGATTTCTGGACAAAAGCCTTTGGATGGTTCCTGGTTCCTTGCTTGAAAATTACAGGTATCCCAGAGAACTGCCAGCTGCTTCAGAGCCGGATTGCTGATCCATTGTTCTTTCTTTCCAAATAACGAAGCTGCATTTTGTCAAGTATCACTAAATGTGCAGATGCATTGCTCAGGATTTTTCTGAAATCTGTACAGATACAATACAGATGTATAACCTTGAACCGTATGTTGTGGAAGGGCATGCTGCCTTAGTAGGTGTTTCTAGCTTAATATGATTAAGAAGAGATAAGAGGAGACTGTCTTTACTTCCTTGGCTGTCAGTAACTGCAGAACAAAATAGTGATTTCGAGAGGTCCATCTCCAGAATGTCATTGTCCAAAGCTGGAAAAGAGGAAGCGAGATTTCTCAGAAGTCTATTTGTTACAGACTGGGCATGATGGGCAGCAGCCAAGAACTCTAATGTGCGCAGTAGTCCCAAGCCTGTGTCTACCAAACTAAGCTTTTAAGGTGAAGTTAAGCATCTATTGCTTTGCATGGGGCCTCACTGCAGTATTACCAAAGCTGTTAACAGTTTCTCTTCCCATTTATCTGACAATCAGTTTATTTCATAATGTGGTTCAGGCTGTCACTGAGAAATCCCCCTTCACTTAGGGGGATTTTGCATCAAACCTGGAAGAAAGGTCTCTCACCTGACTTGGGGCTGACGGCTTGTTTGTCTTGTGCTGCAGGGATGTCTGTTCCTCCTATGAATAATTCCTTTTGAATGGGCGATGCTTATCTGTGCTGAGAGCTCCCGCTGGAGCTTGCAAATGCTCGTGAAGCGGTTTCATCCATCAAAGGCTTTATGTACCTCTGTGTAAGCCAGTGAGTGGGTCCTGCTCTGCGCCCTGACCCTAATCGTGGGCACACACTGATGCAGGGAATTTAATGCTCTGGGGCAGCATCCGCAGTCTGTTAATGTGGTCAGGCTCGTGGTGCCCCCCTGTAGGTCAGCCTTTCTATCCAACATCCCTGTGTGGCAAGAAACTGCTATTTCCACTGGGCAGTCACTATGAGTTAGTGAATATGACTGACTTAGTTTGCTGCTCAGACCAGCAGCAAAAACAAAACAAAACAAAACAAAAAAAAAGAAAAACAAAAAAACACACTTCTGTTTCTTATCATCTGGAGTTTTTCTGTCTGGAGCCTTTAAACCCTGTCTATTATTTCTGTGCATGGGCTATTGCTACTAAAAGGCACGGTGTCAAGCCGATGAGCCTCTGGCATGGGGCAGCTCCAGTAGCAGGCCTTATTCCCCAGGAGGAAGCTGCGTTTCCCTGCAGGGCGTCTCCTGGCAGACAGCATTCCTTGAGGAGAAGGCTGTCCGCTCTTCAGAAGCTCTAACGGTAATGCAGCTGGGGTCGGAAGAGATGGCCTAAATTAATACCTGTCTTCTGGAACTTTTCCTTCCAGAATCCTTAGCTATGTTCTTGCAGATGGCCCCAGTAATACGCCTGGAGGGAAAAATTCGACAATATTGAACTCCTCTGCAACACAGAAAATGGAGACTTTTAAAATAAACATACTAACAAAGTCTCCTGCCAGAAACTCTTAGAAAAAGCTTGAATGCTGTAATTTATTTTAAAGTGGCCAGATCTCGACATATAATTTTTCATCAATTATTGTATAAACTATTTTGGATTTTGAACAACTGTAGTAGGTTTGACAAGCACTTGACTGACATCATGTTGATTAAATATAATTTCCTCTGACAACCCCAGTGAGACCTCCTACTCAGAGTAAATGTGTGAGCTAATAGAATCATCTCGTTAAATCTGCTCTTACATTTGAGAATACCGGAGTGACACCAGGCCCCCTTCTTCTCCTGCACAGCTCAAATATAAGTCTTTCTGCTGGTTCATTTTGGTGTTGCCATTTAAGCAACATCAATGTTTGGGCAAGTGCATCAGGATATTTATACTTTGTTCAGAGTGAGAAATTTGGAATTAGAGTTTTCTGGGGAAAGCTAGGCTGAGTTCAAGCACAGAACCATCAATTTCCAGTTCTGTGGGTGATCAAAAGCCTGCGATAGCGCAGGTCTATAAAGACAGTGTCACAAGATCGGATTGATTTAGCAGTGATCTTCTTGTCTCAGTTTTGGTG